AGCCTCGACCTGCTGGATCCGGCAATCCTTTCGCCTCAGCTTTCCAAGTAGCCGGAACTACCATGCCCGGCTTATTTTTTAAATTTATTGTAGAGATGAGGTCTCCCCAAGTTGCCTGGGCTGGTCTTGAACCTGTGGGCTCAGTCAGTCCTCTCACCTCGGCCTCACAGAGTGCTGGGATTACAGGCTGAACCACTGAGCCCAGCCAAGAACAGCCTTTCAAGGGACCAGGTTGGTAGTTAGGTTTGCTGCCCTGATGGCATGGGAAAATTCTGAAAGTCATTTTTAATCTACTTGAGTCTATATCTGAGGCTGTGCACACCAGGACACAATCCTATGAGCACACTGCCTGTGATAGGCGATACCCCCAGATCAGTCAAAACAAAGCGTAGTGGAAAAAAAGGGGAAGGAGTCCAGGCGATATCCATGTACTTGAAAATTAAATGAGTAGTACTCACATTTGAAGTACTAAACTCTGTAAGTCAATTTGTCTCCCATTTTATCTTTTGCCTTACAGAAATGAAAAAGCCTGGTTATTGTGAACTCAGATATCATTTTGAGCTTGTAAAACAGTTCCATTCCAACCTGTACATTGTGATTTATTTGTTATTAAACAAGTGAGGAAACTATAATTAGGCAAAAAGAACACAGTCATTGTTTTGGTTATGACGGGATAAGCGATCATGAACTGTCTCATGAGAGTTGCAAGGCCCGGGGCTGACAATGGATGTGCACGACAGTGACAGACTAAAGTCAGCAAAGGACGGAGGTAAAAATAGAAGAGGAAAAAAAGGAAGAAGATTAAAAGGAGGTTTAGGAAAGCCGAGGAAGGGGTGAGATGGAGAGAGACAAAAACAGGGAAGGAATGAGTTTCCAAGAGATGAAGTGTGGCTAGTGACTACCACCAAGCATTGTATGAGGTGGGGATACCCATATTTTCAGAGCAGCTGCATTAAAAAAAAAAGGGAGCCGGGCTCGGTGGCTCAGCCTGTCATCCCGCGCCTTTGGGAGGCTGAGGTGGGTGGATGGCCTGAGCCCGCGGGTTCGAGACCCGTCTGGGCAGCGAGACCTCATCTCTACAATAAATCAAAAAATCAGCCGGGCGTGGTAGCGCATGCCTGTAAGTCCGGGTACTCGGAAGGCTGAGGCGGAAGGATCGCCGGAGCCCAGTGGGTCGAGGTTGTGGTGGCCGGGAGCGGCCACTGCACTCCAGTCTGGGCGACAGTGAGAGTCCAACTCAAAAAAAATAAAAATAAAAATAAATAAATAAATAAATAAAAATAAATTTTTAAAAAAAGAGGTCAATGTGGGGGTATTAACCATTTTTCCATATAAGGGTATTAAAAAGACAAAAATCATGCCGTCTAATTTACTTACCTTTCTGCGGTTTTCATTTTGCCTTACGTGGTGAACATTTCTTCTTCCTCTTCTTTTTTTTTGGAGTTGGACTCTCACTCTGTCGCCCAGGCAATCCTGGCCTCGGCCTCCCAAAGAGCTGGGATTACAGGCTGAGCCACCGCGCCCTGTCAACTGGTGAACATTTCATCATAGGTTAGCACTGGTGTATACATGAGAACCATTTGTCTATTTTTTTTTTTTTTTTTTTTGAGTTGGAGTCGCTCTCTCATTCTGTCACCCAGGCTGGAGTGCAGTGGCACGCTCACGGCCACCGCAGCCTCGACCTGCTGGGCTCCGGCGATCCTTCCGCCTCAGCCTTCCAAGGAACCGAACTACAAGCATACCCTACCATGCCTGGCTAATTTTTTGATTTATTGTAGAGATGAGAGCTCGTCAAGTTGCCTGGGCTGCTCTCGAACCCGTGGGCTCAGGCAGTCTACTCACCTCGGCCTCCCAAAGTGCTGGGATGACAGACTGAGCCACCGAGCCCAGCCCCACTTGTCTATTAGTACCAACTTTAATACCAAAAAGAGTTCATTTCTCAGGGACAATTGAAATTCATTCAGTTGTTCCTTTCGCCAACATTCGCTGAAGTCCCAGTAGGTGCAAAAATGAAGTTAGATGCAGGAAGAAGAGAAAGGAACGGCTGTGGGGCCTGAGAGAACAGTGTCTGGCAGATGAGGTGGTGAGACCTGCATGGGGAAGGTAGCAAGAATGTCCAGTGATGTACTCAAGAATTTAGAACTGGGGAGCAAGGGATGGTTTTTAAGCAAGGGGAGACAGCATTAGGGCCGTGCTGTGGTGTCATAAAACCGTTCAAATTAGTTTAGAGGAGGCAGCAAGGAAGTGAGCTAAGGATTGGAGCTGAGACCTCATTATAGGGCCCAGGGGGGGCTGAAGTCGTGGGGATTGAAGTGGACATAAACATGGGAAGGTTGAACCAGGAGGGAGGAGAAAATAAGGATCGCGTTTTGAGCCGGCCTCGATGGCCAGCCTGTAATGCCGCACCTTGGGAGGCCGAGGTAAGTGGATTGCCTGAGCCCGCAGGTTCGAGACTCGCCTGGCAACTTGGCAAGACCTCATCTTTACAATAAATCAAAAAATCAACCGGGTGTGGTAGCGCGCGCCTGTAGTTCCAGCTCCTTGGAAGGCTGAGG